GTTTTGTTTTGCTATCTGATTCCTATTTGGTAGATTTTTTTTTCTTTCTGTCCTGAAGACGCATCAGAAAGAAATATAATCTCTCCAAAGTAAGGGACATGTCTTTTCTATTGGGAGATTTTCCCTCGATTCCTGTTCTGGTAACACCTCACAATTTTGGATTTCTTTTTCTAACTTTACGTCCTAGTAATAATGATCACCAGGAGAAGTAGAGATATTATATTTCCTTAATAGGGAGACAGACCACCTGAAAGGGGTTTTGATACCATTTGTGTTCGCCAACATATCCGAATGGGCATGAGTTACAGGAGTGTGCAGATAACTTTTCACACAAGTGTGAGTCCATGTGTGCTGTTCCTGCAAACAAGCTGTTTTTAACAACCAAGTTCACACTGAAGGGGATTGTATCGAAAACGTATCGCTAAGAGGCACCAAGGTAAACCACTGCACTGTGACATTGTGGTCAAGAAGCAGAGAGACACACCACTACCATGTCTCCTTATTATCAAGAGCAAAAAAAAAAAAAGGCCACTGCACTGTGTCTGCCATTGTTATCAGGACAGACAGGACAGAGACCATTGTTATCAGGACAGACAGGACAGAGACCAGTACAGTGTCATGACTGTTCAGAGGCAAAGTGACAGACCAGTATAGTGTCATGACTGTTCAGTACAGCATCATGATTGTCCAGAGGCAAAGTGATAGACCATTACAGAGTCATCATTGTCCAGAGGCAAAGTGATAGACCAGTACAGTGTCATGATTGCCCAGAAGCAAAGTGATAGACCAGTACAGTGTCATGATTGTCTAGAGGCAAAGAGACAGACCAGTACAGTGTCATGATAGTCCAGAGGAAAAGTGACAGACCAGTACAGTGTCATGATAGTCCAGAGGCAAAGAGACAGACCAGTACAGATACATGATAGTCCAGAGGCAAAGTGATAGACCAGTACAGTGTCATGATTGTCCAGAGGCAAAGAGACAGACCAGTACAGTGTCATGATTGTCCAGAGGCAAAGAGACAGACCAGTACAGTGTCATGATAGTCCAGAGGAAAAGTGATAGACCAGTACAGAGACATGATAGTCCAGAGGCAAAGAGACAGACCAGTACAGTGTCATGATAGTCCAGAGGCAAAGAGACAGACCAGTACAGAGACGTGATAGTCCAGAGGCAAAGTGATAGACCAGTACAGAGTCATGATAGTCCAGAGGCAAAGAGACAGACCAGTACAGAGACATGATAGTTCAGAGTCAAAGAGACAGACCAGTACAGAGTCATGATAGTCCAGAGGCAAAGTGATAGACCAGTACAGTGTCATGATAGTCCAGAGGCAAAGTGATAGACCAGTACAGAGTCATGATAGTCCAGAGGCAAAGTGATAGACCAGTACAGAGTCATGATAGTCCAGAGGCAAAGAGACAGACCAGTACAGAGACATGATAGTCCAGAGGCAAAGTGATAGACCAGTACAGTGTCATGATAGTCCAGAGGCAAAGTGATAGACCAGTACAGAGTCATGATAGTCCAGAGGCAAAGACATAGAATCCATCAGCTAGGAGCAACAGGCCTCGGACAGTCCTAGCAGAGATGGGACTGTGTCAATGGGCTTTTGCTTATGTTAGAACCACCCCCACCGATACAAGTGAATGGGAATGCAAACACAGGCTGATACAGCTTTGGGAGGTCAAATGCAATTTAAGTGAAGCGCTGCCAGCGCGTTGTCACCCTAGGACAGGAAGTGTGTTAGTGGCAGGATCACCTGGTGAAAATTAACAAAAGGCACCTTTTGAAGTGATGTAGCAAAACTCTTCCAATTATATATTTAATAGCAAATAAGAGAAATTCATTATTAGGGGTAAATACATTTAAGGCCTTAAATGACTTGCATGTTCGATATGACATAATGTCATCCAGAATTATTAGTGTAATGTGACGTTACATCATTTTTTTCTGTTTTTACCATCACCTGAGTCTGCATCTAATATTAAAGGGAAAAGCAAACATTCTCCGATGCACAGGTCTTTTTTTCATTCCTTAAAACATTTAAGACCATTGGAATATCCATTAAACATATGCAGACATTTTTATATCTCCATCCAGCAGGCTAGGCTAAGCTTTAATAGCAGCAATGTGCTACTTTATAACTAATGCTGTATATGCACGCTGGAAATAGCCAAATAAATATAGTTTATTCCTGAGACGGCTCTCTTAATCTGTACACAAGAAAGATGGCTCTGGCTGGAGCAGACAGGGGAGTTTATTGAGGAGTAGTAAGTGGCTGCAAGTTGTTACAGTGTAATTTGGTTACCTTGGGGAAAGTTCTCCAGCAGCTTTTGTTCTTCTCCAGAACATTGCCGTTTTGCATACTGATTACCTATTAGAAGGCGCGCACACTTCACTGCTTAATGTGGCTTTCATTATCTCTTTTCTGAGCTCACAGCTCTGTGTTCAGCATCTGTAGCCCACTCTATGTTATTGTCTGTGTGGAACATCTGCTCCTGCGCTCCATGTTTCTCCAATTGTGATAAATGTCTACACTTCTGCTTTGTCAGTCCAATTGTTTGGAAATCCAAGGAGAGGCTCAGTGTATGCTGGAATCATTGGCAGCCAGTCTTCCATGTATCGCTTTCTGGATGTCTAGAAGAGAAGAGTGAGCCATGGTCAGAGGTTTCTGAAAACCATTGCAGTGGTTGATATCTCACACTGTTGGCAGATTCATGTTTTGATGGATGTCTGCTGATTTTTTCCTGGTGTTGCTGTTTGCTAACCCTTTCATTATAGCAGCATTTTTAAAACAAATCACCAGTCGGGTATCAAGACAAGTAAAGTCATCAAACAGTGCATGTAGTTTGGGTGTCTTGACAGACTTACAAGCATGGCCAGATTCCTACATAGCCTATGGCTTAGGGCAGCCACAGGCCGTGCACAATCACATCATGTAGAACATGATCAATAAATGATTAATGTGTACAGTAAATGGTTCTAGACTGCTGCGTTGCCTTCCTGGTGCAAATAAGCTGGGTTTTCTTTGTTGTTGCCCCTGCGGTTTGTCCCAAGATCTTATTCAACTCTGGTTGTACTGACACAGAATGGGTGAAATGTCTCTTTCAGCCTTTTCCACTACTAGCCGTGGTATGGCTTGTGCAGCTATGAGGTACTAGGGCTAAATCATTGACTGGGAACTTAGAGGGCCTGCAAGACCTAGGTGGCCTAGAATGTATGAAACTGGCCTTGCTTGCAAGTACCGTAATCAGTTATGTCCTATCATAATGGTTGCTAGCTGTATCCCTTTATATTAGGAAAGAAAATGTGCCTTGTTGGCAGCCATTGAGGATCAGGGTTGAGCAATGTCTGTGAGGATCAGTGTCAAGCCTGTGCTCCACGAGCTGTTGTTCGCAATACAAATTGTGGACTATATAGGATTCAATTACTACCCATGTGGTTTCTGCTGTATCTTTTAGGTAGGGCTCATCCCTCTTCCACCGAGTCTGGAGTCCCATTTTTTTTTTTTTACCAATGCTTCCAGTTCCAAAAAAGCCAGCATTTATTTTGGACAAAACTCACAATGAGCACTGCAGCCCTTGGAGGAGAACCATGCTGCAGCTTGGGGTTATGTTCCTCCTAGTGCTTGGTACGTTTGACTAAGGTAAGTACAGTAATCTTGGCCAGGCTGTAGAGGAACCATGCAGATTTTAAGCATGGACTGTTACTGTTCGCCATTGTAGACTCTGATGATAACTATTTTGTTCTCTGTCCAAAGACTCTTCATTAGTTCAAGTTGTATTTTATCTGGAAAAAAAGTAAAACATGGTGGGTACTTTGGGGTTGACTTCATTGTTTGAGGTCTGCGAACATCCAACTCTTTTTTTTCCCTTCTGCTAAAACAAGTCATACTAAAACTGCCACACCCCATGTTGCTCTATGGGGAGTCGGATGTAAACGGATATGTGTCTATTTACATCAGATTACCCCCTGTCTGGCAAAACGGAACTCTGTTCCATTTGTTTCTCCGGACCTGGCCAGAGCTGGGGGTTACCAGTTGAAAATGGTCACATGTCCATTTAGACCCAGCTACCTATAGACTAGCACTGGGTTTCCAATTGAATCGACCTGGAAAACGGACAGGCGGACTTGATCTGGCCACCTGTGTAAAAGGGGCCTTAAGGACTGACACCGACTTGCCTTACAAAGTAACAAGACTGATATGCAAGCTGGTTTACTATGCCCTGCTGTTATGTAACAACAGTGCTATATGAATTGGATCCAGTGTGTATAGGTGAATGAAGCGTGTATGGAGGTGTGATTGCGCTGTTATGACAACATTGTCATTCTTTTTAGCCATTTTCAGAGGGTGGACCCCTCTGTATGTCCATATTCAGTTATCAGTAAGTGAGATTTAGGTCACTCTCATCCACACTCTGTATTTTATTAGTATTTTCTAGGCTTAAGGATGGCTGCAAAAATACCTACTACTTCAGTCATTATACAAATATTTTGGTAAAATGTGTTCATCAGAATTGATCTGAAACCGATGTCCAGTATGCATAGAAAATATTTTTCTAATTCCCCTTTTTTTTTTTGCTTTACAGCTTTCTGTTTGGCTAACAGTGCAATACGTGCTTGTATATAGACCTGCATATAGATATTTAGGCTTAGTTGGGAAAATGTCCGCTCCTCGGGCTAGCAGAGTATAAGTCCCAACAGCAGCCCTTATGTGGATGGATGCCTTAGGAATGCTGGGTACCTTGATATAAGACAAAGTACATTATATTTGACCAGTGAGGAAGTCCCATATAGCTCCCTCCTAATATTTTGAATTATTTTGCATTTGTATGCCTATTTTAGGTTTGGCGAATCCAGTAATAGAAAACATTGGTGTTCTGAAATTACACGGGGGTTATCTGGCCAATTCCAACTTAATCACTGCTTGGCAACATTTTTTGTATAATTTTCAGATGGCTTTTATGTAACCTGTGTCTTACTCTTTGTCATTGCAGTGCGTTTGTGTTCGGATCGCCTTAGCCTCATCAAGAAGTGTATTTCTCAGTCTTCCACCAGCTACAAGCAGGCACCCAAGCTTCTGTCGCTGGCTCATCTATTGAGGGTTGCAGGTAAAAGGACACACACTATAATTGTTAAAGAACTCCAGGCAATCTAAAAATTAACATTTGCAGTGGCGCTACCTCCGCACTGCAAGGGTTAACTGCTAGGGTTAGGAGCTAAAATAAAGAAAATATACTCACCTGATCCTCAGTCCCACTTAAGGCTTCAGCAGTCTATGGGCGCATGAGGTCATCCTGTCTAATACAGCTGCATTAGACATGAGGATGCTGAGAGACATTCCACCACTAGGGCGGTGGGGGTGGCGGAGGTGAGTGTTCACTGCCACAGGCCAAAGTGAGCGGTTAACCCTTACAGTTTGGGGGCAGACTGCAGTTCTTCCTTAATCTCATGTGGGTGGCACTAACAGTTTGATAATATTATTTTCATTATATTTGTCTTTGGGGTTGGGTTAAACCTAAGTTCAAGTTAGATTAAGTACAATTATAAAGATTACCATGTAAAATGTGTTTAACTCTAAAAAAGGCTTGATACCTTTAATTTTGTCAAACCTCATTTATTTATTTAATCCCTGGTGGTCCTGACAGCCAGTGCTCCATTTTTTGCAAAGTAACAACACTATTCTCCCTATGGTAAAATTACTGTTGCAGTGTCACGTTGTGCAGAAATGTCCTGATGTACATTGAGGAGGATGGTTATCGACATTGTCACCACTTATAATCATCCCTGACAGAACAGGACACAGGGCTTACGGGCCAGGGACGAGGGATCTTAAAGGGGATAAAAATGGAACATGCCCTGCTGGATCCCTCATCCTGCCTTTGGTGTGGAGTGAAAACATGGCAACCCCTCTGATGACCTCAAGAAGAGGATTTTAGCCATTTTGGAGGAGAAAAAGAACACACGGAATGCATCTATAGGAGTATGGGGACTAACAAAACACAATAACAGAGACTTTAATATGAACATTGAAGTTCCATCTAAGCATGTGCACTAACATTACTGGCAATGTGCAAAAACCTTGAGGTGTCTACAAGTACTTTTGCTTGGCTCCACACTTCCTGTGCATCTGGACACCCATCCTTGACTCAGATTGATATGTCTTTTGTTTTCTCGCAGTTTTTATTAGAAGACTGAGGGAAGGCACCGATCTTCATAAACTTTTATTTCTATTCATTAACCCTCTAGAGATTCCCAACTCATTTTCTAGTGCAGTGGGCCAGAGTTGAGAGATCATCTCTCCAACAAAGCTAACCATAAAAAAAGATAGAGGATCCAGCCCTTCACCATATGCCTGGTCATAAAAGTGTGCAATCCTAACAACAGTCTGTGAAATTCATAAATAGTGTCTTAGATACTCATTAGAAATCTGTAGTTGTGACAATAGCGTGACAAATGGCAGAACTTGCAACAAATTTCTATGCGTAGTGATTAGGGAGTATTTAAACCTGTTGCAAATATGACAGAACTGTTGCACAATTTATTCCAAAATGGAAGCACTGTTTTCCATATCACCAATATGGCAGGATATCTTTATGAATTTGTACTGCCACTGGTGAAGCCAGTCATGTCTCTCTTGCAAAGGTTGAGCCATCATTAGGATCTTCAGCAGCTGGGTCTTTCCACCATGGTCTGTGCCGCTATGTCACTAATGTGTAACTTTATAGCTGCATGGAGAATAATTTGTTGTTTGTGGAACTTACTTTCTTGTCATACAATAGCAGAAGTATAGTCCCCAGCGGAAATCTGTAGAAGATGCCCACAATTCTTCAACTGACTTCTGTCAGAAACATCCTGTATACTAAATAAACATTGACGGCCCATTCACACTTAAGCGGTCCTTTGCAATTCATTAAATAGCGTGTGTTACATTATGGCAACTCATTCATTATGAATGGGCTGCCAATACACCACAGTAGATAAAAAAATGTATATGACCCTTGTTTTAACAATGTAGCAAACCACAGTGCATGGTGTATGTATTGTGGTGCACTGGGCACTACTGTACGCTATAGCGGGCTGCCATTTGTTTTAGCATTCTTTGCCACAACACACAAGTGTGAATGGGCTCTTATAGTTTATTAGCCCTGGGACAGCCAAAAAGCTGTTGAGAACTGTGGATTTGTCTGAGACGTAGAAATCCAGGGCATATTTCTAGCCTAGCATCACATTAATATTTCAGTACATTCACACACAGGCCTGACGGGGAGCATCGGCTGGCTTATTGCACCAGTGCGCGCTGGTAATGATTGCCCGTAGAGCTCTTAGATAAATTCTCTATCTTTTAGCTGCAACTCAGCTGTAACTAATTTCTTTCTGTGGTGGTGTGCTCCCAATGCCAGAGGAAAGACTAAACTATTGATTAATTCTCTTCTACCAGAATTCTGTAGCTGTGGGCTTAATAAATGTGATTGTTTACGTGTTGCCAAGTTCTAGAAGCTTTTCATTTCTTGGGAAGTTTTAGAGTAAAGATAGCAAAGAGCTATATTCTGATCTGTGGCTGTAAAACATCGTTCAGAGTAAAATAAATAGCACTCTGCCTTTTTTCCCCCTCATAGTGGACTTGAACAGTTTATTTTAGGCTGTTTAGGAGAGTTTTTCTTTTTTTAAAGTCAGACATTTGCCTGTTTCTTGGTGATTTCACCAAGGTTCTGTGAATTAGTTTTGGGTACTTATAATAATTAAAGTGTATCTAAAGTCAAAAACAATAATGTAATATATTGCAGCTTACCAATTCTTAGTTGTGGTGGCTGCATTAGTTGTATTTTTTAGGCTTTTTTTTCTTTTATTTTCATCTGGTTATCCAGCCAGTAACACACTTCCTGCCTTAAGGTGGCTCCACTCTATTGAGGAACAAAAGAGCTACCCCTGGATAGCAGCATTGTCAACCTGTGCAGAGTTCAGAGGCACTCAGATCTAAGTGTTCATTCAAATGTATCAAGGTCTTACAAAGAATTTCACTGGCGCTGGTAAGGCAGATCCAAAAGTAGTCTCCCTTTGTAGGATACCCACACATGGTGAAAAGTTCCAAAGTTGGTCCAACTGTTGCTGATCACTTCATGTAATTACAGTCCGAAAGGAAAATTCAGACCACACCAATTAAGAGATGCTTTAGTTCAGTCCTTTGAGTTTAAGTCCCCAAATTAATAGAGATATGGACGGAGGTAAGCCGGTGGATGTGGTATATCTGGATTTCTCAAAGGCTTTTGATACGGTACCACACAAACGCTTGCTACACAAGCTGAGGGCTATGGGCATAGATGAGGTGGTGTGTACGTGGATAGAGAACTGGCTACGGGAACGTGTCCAGAGGGTATCTGTAAATGGCACCTTTTCAGACTGGGCTAGTGTAATGAGCGGTGTGCCTCAGGGTTCTGTGCTGGGTCCCATATTGTTCAACTTATTTATTAATGACATCGGGGAGGGTGTTAACATCGATATTTCCGTGTTTGCGGATGACACCAAAATTGGGAGGGTAATAGACACGGACTTAGACATTATAACATTACAGGAGGACCTGGATAAAATAGGGGAGTGGGCATTAATGTGGCAGATGAGGTTTAATGTCGATAAATGCAAAGTAATGCACTTTGGAATTAAAAATAAACAAATGGGTTATACAATTATGGGTATGCCGCTGGGGAAGTCAGAAATGGAGAAGGATTTGGGGGTCATTGTAGACCACAAACTGAAAGGTAGTTTGCAGTGCCAGGCTGCTGTAAACAAAGCTAGCAGGGTCTTGTCCTGTATTAAAAAGGGGATGTATTGCAGGGACAAGTCTATAATTTTGTCACTCACGCAGCTGGGCGGATCCCGTCATCTTAGTCGGATGGACTTGATGGACTAATGTCTTTATTCAACCTCAAATACTATGTAATATATCTTGGCAGTGCTTTTATTGAGCCATTTGGTTTGCTTTTATACGACCCACCACGGCGGGTTTCAGCAGGATTTTTACACTACGTTTAGGCAGGTCTAGCTTCTTGTTCTGTGCTGTACAACCTCCATTGGTAGGGTGTTTGGCTGAGGCTGAGAGTAGAGGCTGTGTTGGGTCATGGTAGCCAAAACATTTACATGCCTCAAGTCAGAGTAGTTCAGAGGATGAGGTCACTGGCAACTTTGGGGATTTATTAATCAAAGCAGCAATGCATTTAATAACAGAAAATATATTTTTAAGAGCCACATTTTAATGTCTGAATTCTGAGAGCCTTGGATACAAGTTTATAGTGGACCATGTAGGGCAAAACAACAATTTCACCATCATACTACATTTCCTTTCTGCATTTGCCAAATGTTTCTTCTTTCCCTCATCACTGTTCATCCACTGGGTGTGAAAGAAAGACAGCCCCATATAAGCTTCAAGTTGCTCTAGTCATAGTACACAATGATGAAGACTCTACTCATCTCTGTCTCAGCGCAGGGCCAAGAACCAAGCCCCAGGGGTGAGCATGGAGCGAATCACATGGTCCCTAATACCTGGGTATTTTCTTCACTCCCTGCGACTGAATTGAGTGCGCAAGAGCAGAGATGAAAAGGTGGATATATCCTGCAGGTGAGGTGGAAATTAACAAACAACTGTAGTCCTTTACATAATTCCTCTAATCCACCCCCTTCTCCTAAACTAATCTTCACATACACCCCCACCCCAGTCTCTTACTTATCCCTGTACTCCTCCTGTGCAGTAATTACTTCTTCTCTGGCAGAAGTCTTCTTCTGTGCTCACTACATTTGCACATTGAACCCTCATAGACTTGTATGGGGTGTTCTGTACGCTGTAGTTGCTTCCATATGCAAGTACATGAGGTGTCAGAGGTGGCTGATGTAGAATTGGATTTCTGCCCGAGAATTAGTAAACATTGCACAAGGTATGACTGATACATGAGTAAGTATGACGGTGGGTGGGGTGTGATAGTAAAGGTTAGTTCAGGAGGCATGGCTGGGAATGAATTAGGGGAGTTTAGTAAAAGCTACACTTGCCTTTTAAAGTAAACCTGATGTGTTTCCCTGCATGGGCAAAGCACATGTTTCTTTTAAAGGAGAACTATGAGGTGAGTGTTTTTTTAAGGTTTAACACCTGAGTTTAGTGTCACTTTAAAATGGAAGCCTCCATCAAAAGTCCATGTATCAGGGTGATGACACAGGAGCACAATTTGAAGAAAGGGACACATCATTGTCAGCCTGTACCTTCACTGCAGGTTTACCAGAAATTGTTTTAATGAAAGCTGACAATTTAAATGTGAAAAACAATATGTACTTTTGGAATTACATTCACATGTAAAAGCGTATATGAGATTTTAGTGATTGGGTTGACATATACTTCAATGTTGAGTTTTTCCATTAGACAGGACTTCTTATAAAAAGAAAGATCCTGTGCTTGTCTGTGATCCTTTCATCTACAGAGGCTTTCTACAAACATGGTCAGAGGGCTCCATACACAGAGGGGTCCCACCAAGATTACCTGGAAAGCCCCATTAAAGGAGAACTATGAGGTGGGTGCTTTTCACTCACCTCATAGTTCTAGCCGACCTGTGACAATGAGACTGTCACAGGTCGCTCAGTAGATCGGGAAGTGAGCGAACACATACCGGCGTTCGCTCGCCTCTCGATCCTGTCATAGCCCTCTGCCGTGACAGGGGAGGGGCTGGATTCCTCCCTCCCCGCTCCGATCCGCCAGCGCTGACTGGCAGATCGGAACAGGGGGAGGGGGCCGGTACAGCTGGCTCTGCCTCTAGATAGGCAGAGCCAGCTGTTACTCACGCAGCTGGGCGGATCCAGACATAATTGTCGGGATCCGCTTCAGCTGCGGCGTCTCAGTATACTGCGAGCAGTAGCTCGCGGTATACTGTGGCGTCTCAGTATACTGAGGTTAGGGTGACTGTGAAAGGGGACATTTGGGAGTACTTTATAGAAGGGGTCATCAAAATTTACTCTTGAAAAGTGTAATTGGCCAAATAACTTAGTACACATGCTCGCATTTATCAGACATTCTTAAGTGTTGTGTCAGCACGCCAAGTCTATCGTAGCACAAACACTGGATGCTTTTTTTCCCCTACAGTGTTGGGACGTAGGAGCCCTAGGAGGGGATTGAACTCATTTTGGTTGCCCTGTCATTCTAGTTTACTCATGCTTGGCAAGTACAAGCATTGTCTTCTGCCTGTTCTGTACAAATGCAGTTACCAAAAGCTCAAACGTGAAATGATTAAAAATTCCCAGTAGAACAGTGTTCAAAGCATTCACCAGGGCCTCACGTGCCTCATCTTGATATAAAACCCATATTTAGTATTCTGTTCATCGTGGTGTTGTTTAGAGATAAGGTTGCCCTGTAAACAGTGTGCAGGTAATTTGTTGATTAGGACACCATGCTTTGTTTGTTCGGCGCTATCTCCGCTCTGAATAAGAAAGTCAGCAATAATTTGTGAAGTTCCATTATAAATGTGCCACTTCAGCTATAACTCCCACAGCTTCGTATAGTCATTAGCACATAACTTTTCCTTTCTTCTGTCACAACAGGGATGGCGTGGTTAAATGAAGATCTCTTAACGACAGCCAGCGAAAGCAGAATAACATACATTAATTTGCTCAGCTCTTAACATCTTCTTTTTTGGGGTTTAGATTAGGCTAGGTTCAAATATGCAAATTCTGTCTGCATTTTATATAAGTGCCAGGCCAGACTCTATGGTATCCATCAGGTCAAGGTTTCTCAAAGTTCTGTGGTCATGGACCACTTTAAACCAAGTGACGGGTGCGGCGGAAGACCTGTATTTTATGTACATCTCTTACTCTGTGCAAATTGTCACCTAAAGGTGACTCTTCGACGGTCCCCTTCCTCACTCCTCTCCCTGTTTCAACACATTGTTGCCACTTCTAGCTGCTCACTCGTCTATTGCAATGTATTCAAGGCTTTATATTTATGTTCTGTATACTGCTTCTTGGCTGTGTGTAGCTTTTTTATTTTGTTCCATTTACTTTTTTAATTATAATTTGAAATAAAGTCCCTATAATGTCTCCATTGCTCCAACTGCTTAAGCGCATGATACGTCAAGTGGTTCCCCATCAACTCTCCAATTGTCTTAAAATGTCAATTTTCATTATTTATTCCTCCACCCTGGAAAAAAGTTTTATGACACTGGTTAAGGTCAACAATCTTAAAGCCTAATTCCAGGCATTTATAAACTCATCAAAACTGCATTACTTTACTTATATTGTATTTCCACTTTCGCAGTCAAATTTGAGAAAGTTTGTTATGGGTTCCCATTCACGCAACATAAAAGGAAAGGGGAAAAAAATAATATATATATATACAGGTGAAACTCGAATAATTAGAATATCGTGTATTGTTCTATCTACAATCCTTGTTTTATTGATTGCATGCAATAATCTACTTTTTTGAAGTTGTGGATTTGGGGTTCTTGGGGTTTTCATGAGCTGTAAGCCATAATCATCACAATTATGACAAATCACGGCTTGAATTATCTTGCTTTGCATGTAATGAGTCTATCTCGTATATTAGTTTCACCTTTTAAGTTGCATTAGTGAAATAAATGAACTTTGCACGATATTCTAATTATTCGAGTTTCACCTGTATATATACCCACCTACCTTTTAAGTGTTTGGTGAAGGCCTTTTGCTCAGATTGCAAGCTGCTTGAACAGTTTGAAAGTAGAGGGACAGACTGATATTCCATTCATTAACCTGCATCAATATACTTCCTTTCATTAACCTACAATTCTTCTAAGCCTTTAACTTAATAATAAAAATTTTCCAGCACAGAACGGACAGCATTAATTAGAATAACCATAACTTCCCACAGCCCCCTCCCTAACATTAAATATGAAATAAAGAAGCTAGGCAGGATTTTTAAGCCATATTTTTTGCAAGTGATGCAATGTGAATAGGAACATGTTACAACTATAAATATAAAGCAAGGGTATCTGAGCCAGTTAGATTTATAACATTGTAAGTCGGTATACATAGAAGTAACCTCTTGCAGTTCTTCGGCATGCTACATGTTCCCCCTCCCTCCACCCCTGCCACTAATTCCCAGTCGAGCTTAGTCCCTGTTCACACCTAGGCGTTTTGTTGTGCAAAACTAAACCTGACACAGTGCTCAAGACAAAGAGTCCCATTCCCTTGTCTTGAGCGCAACCAAACACTCAAGACAAGGAATCCCATTTGTTTCTATGAACCCTGTTCACATCTGAGCGTTTTGTCACAAGCAGAAAAACTCCTGTGGCTGGAAAAAGTACATTTAGGCTACTTTTTGGCAGCTTACAGCAAATTTTGGTCCCATAGACTTCAATGGGACACTTCATGTAAAAATAATGTGCAAAATGCATAAAACTTGCATTTCCAGGCGTTTCCCATTGAAGTCAATGGACCAAAAAGTGCTGCAATGTGCCAAAAAGTACATCAGGTACTTTTTCCAGGGACAGGTATTGTTCTGCTTTCAACAAACAGGCCAGTGAACAGGGGCCATATAAATGAATGGAATTCCTTGTCTTGTGTTGACACGCTCAAGACAAGCGAATGGGATTTCTTGGCTTGAGCATTTTGTCGCCGTCAAAATGACAGCTGGGACTTGCTTTGTATTGCAGCCAGGTATTACAGGTGAAACTCAAATAATTAGAATATCGTGCAAAAGTTCATTTATTTCACTAATGCAACTTAAAAGGTGAAACTAATATATGAGATAGACTCATTACATGCAAAGCAAGATAATTCAAGCCGTGATTTGTCATAATTGTGATGATTATGGCTTACAGCTCATGGAAACCCCAAATCCACAATCTCAGAAAATGAGAATATTGTGAAAAGGTGCAATATTCTAGGCTCAAAGTGTCCCACTCTAATCAGCTAATTAAGCCATAACACCTGCAAAGGGTTCCTGTGCCTTTAAATGGTCTCTCAGTCTCGTTCAGTAGGAATCACAATCATGGGAAAGACTGCTGACCTGACAGTTGTGCAGAAAACCATCATTGACACTCTCCATAAGGAGGGAAAGCTTCAACAGGTAATTGCAAAAGAAGTTGGATGTTCCCAAAGCCACAGCTCGCGGTATACTGAGCTTTGGGTGACGGGAGGACACTAGTTTGTGTCCTCCTGTTACCCGTAGGAGAACTATGGGGAAAAGCCCTAACCCCATAGTTCTCCTTTAAGCCTTGTTAGTTTTAATTAGCCATAATTAACTATTTTTTCCCCTTATCCATAAATATTATGATTTGTATGTTTTTATCCATTAAAATGTAACCTTTTTTATTTTTTTAATATGTATTCATTTTGTTATTTTTTTTTGTGTGTCACCTTCAAAGAAATATATAAGATTGGAAAAAAAAGCTCTAATGTAATTACTAGGTAACTTAATACTAGCGACTTAAGTAATCCTAAATTTACTAAACTAACTATGCTTTCATTGCAGATGCTTTGGATGACATTGGCCCTGTAGGCTGCTCACACAAAAATGCAATGATGTGCATAATTTGTACATCACAGCCAGCAGCCTGTTTTGATCCTGCCGAGCATCGAGCAACCTATCTGAAGATAGGGTCAGTGGGGGTCTGTGGAAGAATAGTCTGCCACAGTCACCCCTCCCCAGTCTTCAGCTTACTACATCCCCCCAATCAACTAAAATGTATGGTGTCCTGGAGCTAGTCAACATTGCAATGACCTCAGCCAGTGGCAACATTTACACTCCATACCAGTACTTCACTGTATGTAGAGCCTGGGCCGGGCTGGTTGGCATAATGATTGTACGCATTAAAGTGGCACCATTTATTGTAACACATTGAGACATGAACACAATGGCCATGTGTCTTTTTTCAGCTTTGACTATTACATATTTTTTTATGTATCCTCCCCCTAATTGTTTGATTGAAGCTCTCATTACACAATTCTTCACTTTGCAGGAAATGAAGAGATGGAGAGGAAAGGTCAAGTTCTTACACTTTTAGCTGAGCAAGCGCTTCAGTGCCAAGATTACAAGGCTGCCAATGGGCACTGCCAAGAACTCATGGTCACAGGTAGTACATTATATACCATTATTTATTATTTATGCATTGAATTTACTGGGTGTGCTTTGAATCTTTAACCCCTTCATGACTGAGCTAGTTTTTGGTTTCTGTTCGTAAATGACTGACACACTTTTGACATTTTTGCTGTGTGATTCTTCCACGTCAGTAATATACTTTCTTACAAAGTGCACCCACACATATTATATATTGTTTTTTAGAGGACAGATAGGGCTATATATTTATATCACATATGTGTGTCTAACGCCTCACTTAGGACAAATACAAATTAAAAAAAGAGGAAAAAACGTAAAAAAAACCTTTTTTTCCCAGTTTTGATTTGTAGTATTTTTTTTTAACAAAACCAGCACAGCTAAAAAAAAATGCAATACATACATTCATTTATTTGTCCCTTATTTTTAATTTTTTTTACACTTTTCACTATTTTTTTTTATTTATTTACACTTTTCACTTTTTTTATACTGACAAATTTTATTTATTTAATTATATCAGGCAGTCATTGTGAATTAATCTCACTATTACTGCTTGATAAATGAATACATTTTTTTTATTATCAGGCTGCTTCAAACTTCAGAACAGCCGATAATAAGTTAGTGACACTGATCCTGCAGCAGTTCAGGATTCAGCTGTCAGTGAATGTTTCAGAAAACTTAAACATTCTACTTTCAAGAATAGATACATTATGTGTCTAATACATAACATTTTGTATCTATTCTTGAAAGTCAAAAGATAAAAAAAAAAAAAGCCAGTATAGCTTGAGAGAGATATCTCTCGATCTATACGAGCTGTCAGAATGCCGGCAAAAGCCGACATGTGTGTCCGCTTTGCTGTGTGACTCTCAGACACCCGATATTAAGGTATCGGGTGTCTGAAAAAGGTTAACCCTTTCAGTAATGGATCTCTAGATAGTTAGACATCCATTACTGAAAGGTAACCGCTGATTCTCAGCGGTTAGCAGCCTTCTAGTGCAGCAAATAACTTGTCACGTACAGTGTACGTGACGAGTCATTTGGTCCCTTTGTGGCTGGACGTACAGTGTACGTCTCCCGTCACGAAGGGGTTAAAAAGTGAGTTTTTTTTCACAAGTGTCAAGCTGAGCCTATCTCTATATGGGTGTTTCTGGGTGTGAAGGACCTATATGAAAATATCCAAGGAAAACATTTTCTCTTGGTATTCAGTATTGTTCCACAGCAACCAATCAGATCCAAACACGTCATTCTTTCACAGTACAGCCAAAGCATTTTTATTGTTTTACAGCTTCACATAATACCTCCGGCAATTGTTCCCTCGAATGATTACCTATATAAGTGGGGCCTGCTGTCAAATTATTAATGAATTGAGTGTATACTTGACTTGAACCCAACATCTGCTGCTCGTTCGTGTATACACATAGAGGAAACCTGCGATCTGTGCTATGTGTGAGCTTACATTGTACATTCTGCCTACTGAAAATGCATATGCTCCACCCAGAGATTACTATTCTGAACTATGCACCAACGTACCTGCATTTTGGGTATTTTGTGGGGGCCCATATGCTTCTGACACAGTATACTGTATGTCTCTAGCCCTGTGCCTGTATATGTTGCCTTAGATACATTTGTTCTAGGTGGTAAGCACAGTTACCTGTGGTGATTGACACTTTGCTGAGCAGGGAAAACACTTTACTGCAAGACAGTGGCAATGGTCCTCAAAGTAAACTTTCTGGAGAAGACATAGATCTTGCCATTGTTCATCTTCATTTGAAAATGCTAATTTCTTTTCCATTCTGCTGACCCTCTTGTTTTCCAGGTTATACACAAAACAAGCATGTATATCAGGAATGTCAGAGCCCTTTTGTATACTTGTTTTAGGTTAATGACTCAAATTAATAATACAAAATGTTTAGCATGACAGCCGGGCATCAAGCATTTGCAGTAGGGCAGCCTTCGTGGTTCTAAAAGGAAAGGTTCTCTTTAATGATGCATTCCAGGGAGAACTGTCACACAGATTGTGACTGTTTAAATTAGCCCTCAGCTTTTTAGCTGTCACAAGAGAGCTGAGGAATATGAGGTCCCACCTCTTACCTGGGACCTTCTGTTCAGTTCTATGATATCTGTGTTGGAAACCGTCCTTCCAACCTATGATTTAACAATGCTGTCCTCTATTACAGGCTATTGCTTTTCATTGGGAATTAGAGCAAGGACTGCAACTCACTGAACTGCTAATTAAGTAGAAGGAGTTTAACTACTGCAAAGGAGGGTCGAAGGCTTGTTTCTGTATGAAGAACGAGCATGTGTTGCTATATTATTCATTGTATAATCTACCACATAATTCTACTTCTCAGGGTACAGTAACAGCTGGGAAGTGTGCAGTAAACTGGGACAGTGTGAGAACTATGATGACCTGGGAACACGGCAAGAGCTTATGGCATATGCTTTGACTCATTGTCCTCCATGTGCCATACAGGCATTGCTTTCTTCTAGCAGCTCCTTACAAACACAGGTAACTGCATTATGCTTTAACTGTATGTTGACAGATCCACAAATGTAAAGGTGTAAAGGATAAGTTCATCTGCTGGCTTATATCATGCAGAAATTCCAGAGGTCACTATCTGCTTTTTCCATCATGTGACATAAATGAACAATTTAACTAGAGCAATGAGAACTTGTTATAAAAGTTATACTGAGTGGAGATGGGATCTCAGGTGCATAGACCTTTCCACTAAGGTCTCGGGAGATTTAAGAAGCTAAATGGATAATCAGACCTCTTGCATCTATTCAAAACTGTGTGGATAAGCTGATTATGTAACTTTTGTAGACATTTTTAACCGAAAGGCCAACTTTACTCTATGGCAGATCTGATACTGTATGACAAGGCTGTACAAAATATATTGACTGCCTTGCTGTGTACATGTTGATGTATCTAATGTGCCTTATGAAAAATACAGTAATCATTCATGTTACCATGATAGAGGAAGGGGGATACTGTAGGTAACTGTGACCATTTCTCAAGCACTGGTTAGTTGTGTCTATAGTTCTTCCATTGCTGAGATACAAGAGCTTGACAATACTCATGTCTATTTAAAGCACATGTATGTCTTCCTTGAAATGAGAACTATTCTGACTCCGATCGTTGTGATAGCGAAATATATCCCTTGCTGAGACCTCTATGCCTGGCCTGTATAAGCAGATATACTCACTGCGGACAATCCTCGTCAGATAGCTGAACTCGTCAATACCTATTCATTCAAAAGAGGTGTTTATTCTTTAACATCAGGTTACAGCAGATGATAGGAACAGCAGATGAACAGTTATAGTATTGTGCGGTCAAAAGATGATGCCTTTCCTACGTAATGTGCAGATTACATATGTGTCCTTGTTACATGTGGCTGTTCACTGTGGCCATGACACAGGAAGTACTGCACACAGGTAGAAGGAAGGGGCGTACACTTGTGGGAAATACGTTGTCACATGAGGAATAATTACAGAAAGACATATATATATTACAACAAAAGGCCTCTAGATGGCAGCATAGGTTAACACATGGATTTAGCTATGAGAAAATAGTTAGGCAAACCACACTATATAAACTCTAATCTATATAACATTGCTAATATTAATTGAGGCTATGCGTCTCATTTTCTATGCCCCTGTTGGGGCGGCACAAGAACAGTGATTAATATTATAAAAAGTTGACCTGGTATGGATGTAAGGCTATCAAGTTCCCCCAAGAGAAGGCATGAAAAATGGTGCCTGAACATACGGGTTATCAACCCGTATGTTCAGGCACCATTGTGTGCCTGGTGAACCCCTATTCCCAGGGGCAGTCTATATGGTATGCTTTTACTTGATCTCAATTTGAGCTCTGGTGCGCTTGCCTAGATTACCCAGACCCAAATGTATACCTCCGGTTCCCCTAGACCATATCTCTTGTGCCAGCCCCTTCCTACCACAGCCGATTGGCTAAGCTTAGCATCATGCTAATAAGATTGGATGTACTAGCCACATAAGGCATTCCAAGGTTGACACACTACATTTACTCTCTCTGTCAGTAGTCCTAGAACTATTGACTTGGAAGAGTAAGAACAAATGTTCCTCCTCAGATATTTATAGGGATCATTACTAGGCAAATTCTCCTTAGACTGGATTCGATTCTCCTTTATATGAATGTAGAGGAATTGAATGACTGCCATACTATGCAATGTATGTATTTTGTTAATCAGAGGGATATGTATTGTTTTGTTTTTTGTTATCTGTATTTGGGGTGTGGTAGAAAGCCTTTATTGGTGTAGTGTTATATGTTGTTTCTTGTTAGATGGAAGTATGAATGTAGAGGAATTGAATGACTGCCATACTATACAATGTATGTATTTTGTTAATCAGAGGTATATGTATTGTTTTTTGTTATTTGTATTTTTGTAATATGTGAAACTTGGAAAACTAATAAAGAAATATTTTGAAAAAAATGTTGCCACACTCTGTTAGGAGTTTGGTTCAAGCTGTGTAGATATAGAGTGAGTGAACTGTTAGTACATAGTACCACCAACAAAATGCTCGGCAACAATAAGGACAGCTTCACACTTGTTACTGTCACTAGTTCTTCACCACCATTCACCTATGTGTTATTTTTGGTTCTTTGTTGTTTTTTTCGTTTCTCACAGTTCCTTTTGACACAAATTTATTTATTTTTTCGTTTCTTTGGTATGATTTATTTAAGAATTTTAGTTAAGACATGTATTGATACTTATAATCAATTCAACCTTATTTTAGGCTGAGGTTAAAATACCCAGCCCCGGTCCACTTATTATTTTCACTGGATCACTTTATTTTTCACTTAAATACTTGATTGTATTCAATATTAATATCTTCATAATTTACACCTTTAGCGCTTTGATTTAATCTTTTTCGAACAATAAGGAAGTTCACAACATAAACTGCGGGGGGGTTGTGTGCTGCCCCTTGCAGCCCTCCTATCCTATGTTGGTCATGCAAAATTTGGGCCCTGGACATCTCACATTGCAATGCAGATGTCACGAAAGCCAATAAAAGGGTGTCTGCAATGTGCTGTGGAAAGCAAAGGGGGCTTGCCAGAGTACAAGTCATTGTTATTGTGTAGGCTGCCCATTCTTTAGTTGCATAGGTATACGGAAGATACAAGCATCCACAGTTATCTGAGTTAGGGACGGAATTATAAAAGCTATGCAGGGCATTACAGCTGCTAGATGGAACTAGAGGGGTATATGAATTTCCTATTCTTCCTATCTAGCAGCTGTAATGACATGTGAATGACATTCACCTAGATATTCACTGGGCAAAGCCTTTTTAAATCAGCCCCCTAGTGTCTCTTAGGTGCCTATATTAGCTTTACTTCCAGCCTTTTACAAAGCTCACCTTCATTGAATAACTTCACTACATTGCCTTACAATGTAAGTTTAACAAAGATGGAGATATTGTAATGCATTGTAATATTTACAAATATATACAGGAGCAGGACACATTGCATTTTCAGCTTATTTTGTCCTAGGTAATTCCTGTAACACAAACAATGCCATACACAATGATGGAAGTGTCCATTTTCTTAGCAGTAGGTTTGTAAAACTATTTCTGCACCCTGCTGGGGTTTTTTTTCAGATTCTCTATCAAAGAGTAAATTACCAGATTCAGCCGGGTGATGGAGACGGGATGGTGAATTCACAACACTTTGGACCTGCTGTGCCTGCTGCCAAAGACACCTGTCCGGTAATCTACTGTTCATTTTCTAACATATATGTGTGCAGGAGCGTGTACCTTATTTGTATAGTTACTCGGCATGGTTCTGCTACCAGTTTAGAAGAAATGTTTGTCTTCCGAGGGAGAAATAGATAGACGTTAGAAAAGAAAAAATCTAGGCCAATGCAAAGTTTTTTTTCTTTAAAACAGACCTCCAAGTTAATTAAGAAGTTAATCAGATATTAAACTGGTAGATGTTGAAATATATTTTAATAATTGTTAACACTTGTATCACTCTTACAAGCAATAGAAGAACAGCTAACATGCAATCCAATGTGTGACTTTTTGGGGGTCTCTGGCCATCCCCTGCAATGCATTATTCTAATTGGCAGCACAGCTCACACAAAGCAGAATCTGCAACCACTTGCATTCATTTGCTGGTTGAGGCCGCTGAGCTGGAGGATTAGGTGGTTTACGGAAATGGCATGGTGTTTTACTATGTGGTCTGTTTAAATTGTATCTCAAGCCAAACACTTATATCAAATATGTTGTACCACCTTGCATTTTTCCAGTGAATACAAGGCATTTTCTGATTGGGAGAGATGGAGAGGGGTGGTGGATAACATCACAATCGGTACCTAGTCCAATCAAAGACCACAGTGAGGGGCATTTATCAAAACTGGAGCAGACAAAGTCTGGAGCAGCTGTGCATGGCAACCAATCAGCATCCACCTTTCATTTTCAAAGCTTAACTGAACAAACTGAAAAAGGAAGCTGATTGGTTGCCATAGGCCACTGCTCCAGATTTTGTTGCTCCAGTTTGGATAAATTACCCACCTTGTATTCATTGAAAATAATAGTGGTGTTGGTGGTCTAAATGGGGTGGTGCCAAGTGAGCAACTCCCGGTGCTCAGTGTGTAGAGGGAAAGCCACTGTAGAAGCACCTAGAAGATCACAGCTATGACTGTATGTAACATGAGCTGGGATTTTCAGCATCCACAGCAGCCCGTTGGATATCGACTATGGATACCTATTAGGGCTGCAACTAATGATTACTTCCATAATCGGTTAGTTGGCCAAATATTTTTTTTTTTTTAATCGGGTAAACAAAATTTAGATAAATGCCATCCTTAATTTAACTGAAATACATAAAAGCAGTGTAACAAACAGAAAGTTTACTTGAAAATAAAACTGCATGCACAATTTATTGCAATTACACTGCACTGGAACGCACGGCATTACGGTACCATGTGTTCCAGTGTGGCGATCAGACTGTGGGTGGGAGGCGCGTTTGAGGTGCCATTAAAATGAATGGCACTGCAACACACCTCCCGCAGCAGAATTTGTCAGGCCGAAACCAAAAATTACTTTTTTCACAACTTTTATATATATATATATATTTTTTTTTTAAATAATTCTATTGTAAGCACATGGCACTTCAATAGCTTCAGCCAGGGAATAACAGTGGCCAGTGGCAAGATTCTGCAGATGGCAGCTGAGTGTTAATACAGCAGGTAGTGGGCTGGTGCAATAGCCAATAGCAGCCTGGCCATTGCCCCCACCCGCTGCATGCTGTGCCCTCCTCCCAGCGTGGGGGAGAGAGCTAGGGGATCCAACCAACTAATCAATAATGAGATTAGTTGACAACTATTCTCATTACAGATTATTATTATTATTGATTAGTTGGTTGCAGCCCTAATACCTATATCGAGCCAAGCTGGCCCAAAAAGACAATTCCTGGAGTTCTGCTTTAAGTTCTTTATTAAGTGAAAAAGGTACTAATTACCTGTAATCCTCCTCCCATACCAGCTGAAGTTTAAAATTAAACTCATAGTGGCGTGCCAGCTCTGGATGCATAGTAAGTGACAGGACAAGGGTAGGTTGGTTCTTTTAGATTGTAAGCCCTCACGGGTAGGGCCCTCCTTACCATCTTGTCTTAAATTGTATTGTGACTGTAATGTCTTCCTTATATTGTAAAGCGCTGTGCAAACTATTGGCACTATATAAATCCTGTATAATAATACAGAATTCTAGTAACAGCTGAGGCAGTGTCATGTTTCATGTGCCAGTAGTTGTCGGGGCAAGCATGAAGGCAGCATGAAAGTTCAGTTCTAGGCGTTACATAAAGAAGATTGTAGGATCCAATATTGTGGTCCCATTCCTCAGGGTAACCCAGCTCTATTACATGGAGGATTCTGACATGATGAAGGACTGTATCCCTAGAAATAGAAAAGCTAAATGATTTCCCTTGCAGATAGCAGCCATTACAAATTAACTGTTGGAGGATAGGTTTACCTCTTTTGACTGGAGTTCCTCTAAACCCGAAAGCAATTATCTGCCCATTTATCTGAAAGTCTATAGGCTCGCTAGTTTACTAGAGGTCAGTTTGGGCCAGACTCTATGAAATTGCCTGTGTTACATCCTATTTGTGTCTCTGCCTTCCACTGCCGAAGATCTCCTGCGCTTCCAGCTGTTCGGCCACAATGACTAATATAGATTTGTTACTTAAAGTCAAGCACAGTTTAAAGATAATTGGGGAAGCCAGTAAAATCGCAGCCATCTCAGTACAATAATAAACCAAGAAATCTGTCTCTTAAAAAACCCATCTGATTGCTTTGTAAAATGGATGTGGCTATTCTGCTCAAATGTTAACAGCTGCAAAGTAATCTTGAGTGCATAATGTATTGCGCTTATGATAGTGCAAGAGCATAAAAATGTATCGCACAGAAGAAAATAATGGCATTTTGTTTAATTTACCTTGAAGTGTGTTTTAAAATGTTCTACCAAATGCAATTAGACATAATAGTAGAAGTGAAACTGGCAGGATAGGAATGCGGTGACCGCCATCGGAGGCTGACTGCTCAAGAGCTGTCACCCTTTTTCTTTCTTTTCTACCTAGCAAATCAATGATCTAGAGCAGGGGTAGCCAAACTTTGGCTCTCCAGCTGTAGTGAAACTACAAATCCTATAAGGCATTGCACGACTCTGACAGCCACTGGCATGACTTCCAAAAGGCAGAACCATGACGGATTTGTAGTTTAACCCCAGCTGGAGCAGCTCTACTGGCTATATGTGACCTAGAACCTGAATAAAAGCCATTGAAAGCTCAGCTTCCATTCAGCTTTCATGCTTCAGGTCAGTGACTCATTAGCTTGGGAAGCCCAGGGATTACAATGACAGCTCCGGAGCCTAAATCTTTTTTAAACAAGCCATTAATAGCAGCTTCCATATTTGTTTTCTCATGGCTTCACCTTAGGGTTGAACGCTTGGTGAAGATATGCAATGAATAAAGGGAAAATCACATTATTTACACCTAGCGACAATAAATCATCACATTTTTCTGGGGCCAATCCAGAACAAGAATTAATAAAACAGACTGTGTACAAGCTAATATGATGGGCCGGGACCAAAGCTTTCTGATTATAACAGGGTGACAAATATAGTACCCCTTGCTCTCCTGCAAACCTGATATGAATTACCTTTTGTATGTCTCCCTTGATGCAGTGGAAACTATTCCACTTTTGTCCCTAACTTACCCTGGCTCCCACCCTACATATGACCAAAGCCATTAGACCTCATCCTTTCACATACTCTGTGGATTTCAGTCTCAGTGAAGGAGCCATGCAGACTCATTTCATCCCCCACCTCCTTCTCCTATCAATATTACTCTGCCCACTCTTCCCCCCATGCGTCAGGGAAATCTTCAAGAATTGTATTGGTAGCACTCCAATGACCTTAAAGATGTTCACTCATTACTTACATCCTAGTCACTCATAACTTTCCCTTGACTACAAATATCCTATACAATTCCCAAACCAGTATTCTTTCATTATGCTCAATTGCAACACTATGCCCATCCCCTGATTAAAGCCCACACACCTCCATTTGCACTAAATTTCTTTGAAAGTAGATATGATCCCCATTCACCAGGCCTAATACCATCTATCCTATCTATACAATCAGGAGCACAGGAAATCATGAGTTGAAGCCCATGTATAACTTACATTCAGGAGCAGAGGAAATCATGAGTTGAAGCCCATGTATAATTACATTCAGGAGCACAGGAAACCATGTAAGGCAAAATAAAAGTACTTCCACCACAAGGTACTCATACTTTAGTAGTTCACTGACCAGACCGGATAATATTCTTGGTCATTATAGTTGAGGAGCACTTAGGAAAACACACGGATCAAGCAGTAAAATTATACCTTTGCCATACTTCTACTGGAATTGCTTAAAAGGGCCTCTGATATTCTTTTTCATAAGGTGCTATTATTTAACCTGTGGAAATTGATGTTATTTTAGGGGAAGCACACTATACAATGGGCGCTGCTGGAGATGAGACAAGATGAGGAATCTGTACCCCGGTTGACATTTCTCAGTGTGGTTTCTTCTGCCTTATTGCAGGCTTTTTCATTGTGAATGTTTATCTCATTGTTCTTTACTTGTTTCCCCTTCAGCGTCCTTTGTGTTTTCTGATCTTTTAACCACACAAATTACAGCCTTTTAGTGCACCGCTGGGTACCATAGTCACTGCGCGCCCGCGCCGGCTGCAGAGCGAGGGAGCACTGTGTACTTAAAATATCATTTCTATGAAAAATAGGAGCGGATTTTTATTCAAGGTCATTTTTTTTTTGTTCCGGAAAGTTTCTGCGGACTAATGAATGCTTCAGCACTTTGTGACTTGGTGCTTAGTGGACCAAACACAATGCGTTTTTTTTTAAAATCAAAAATCAGCTTTATTATATATAAGAAAGCAAGGTACAATGAGACATAGAGGCACAGCCCCAAAAACATAGAAACACAATGCGTTTTGACCTGACACTGACCCCTCGCCCACATGCATCCCTCCCACACCTTTTTGCAAGCTGATCTACAGGCAAGCAGCTAAATGCATGTATGACATAAATGGGGATATTTGACTTGCCAAGGTATTGTTTCCACCCAGTTGTAAAATGTGTTTTCTGCCACACATCTTAACCCTGCCTAGCAGGGATGAATACTTGGTACTTTGCTGCAGTTAAAGCAGA